AATTCAACATTTGATCTTTGGTAAATAAAGCCATAAAATATGAGTCAAAAAATAAAAACTTAATATCCCAGTAAGCAAACCAGGTATTTATTATTTTTGAAATGTATAAATACTATACACCATTGTTTAAAAGGCATTTTTTTTTACCAGTTACGATCCACAAAGCCTCGCATTTTATAAATGAAAATACGGCCTTTTATTAAACTAATAAGTCTGCATAAATAAACAAAAGTTTATGCTCTGGAAGGTCAAAACCTGAATTTTGAAATTCAAAAAATAATGAAATGAAATTTGTAAATAACATATTGTGCACAGAAATATCTATTTTTTTTATAAACCAATGCTACTATGTAACAACTAAAAATAATATTTGAATAAAACATAATAATTTTATAGAAAGAAGAAGAAGAAGAAGAAGGAAGAAGAAGAAGAAGAAGAAGAGAAGAAGAAAGAAGAAGAAGAAGAAAAGAAGAAGAAGAAGAAGAAGAAGAAGAAGAAGAAGAAGAAGAAGAAGAAAGAAGAAGAAGAAGAAGAAGAAGAAGAAGAAGAAGAAGAAGAAGAAGAAGAAGAAGAAGAAGAAGAAGAAAGGAAGAAGAAGAAGAAGAATAGAAGAAGAAAAGAAGAAGAAGAATAGAAGAAGAAGAAGAATAGGAAGAAGAAGAAGAAGAATAGGAAGAAGAAGAAGAAATAGGAAGAAGAAGAAGATAGGAAGTAAGAAGAAGAAAGAAGAAGAAAATAGGAAGAAGAAGAAGAAGAATAGGAAAAGAAGAAGAAAGAAAGAAGAAAGAATAGAGAAGAAGAAGAAGAAGAAAGAAGAAGAAGAATAGGAAGAAGAAGAAAAGAAGAAAAGAATAGGAAGAAGAAGAAGAATAGAAGAAGAAGAAGAAGAAGAATAGGAAGAAGAAGAAGAAGAATAGGAAGAAGAAAGAAGAAGAATAGGAAGAAGAAGAAGAAGAAGAAGAAGAAGAAGAAGAAGAATAGAAGAGAAGAAGAAGAAGAAGAAAGAAGAAGAAGAAGAAGAAGAAGAAGAAGATAGAGAAGAAGAAGAAAGAAGAAGAAGAAGAAGAAGAAGAAAGGAAGAAGAAGAAGAAGAAGAAGAAGAAGAAGAAGAAGAAGAAGAAGAAGAAGAAGAAGAAGAAGAAGAAGAAGAAGAAGAAGAAGAAGAAGAAGAAACTTGTATGACCAGAGCTTTGGCAAGATGGGGAATGAAGAAGGATGGGTAAGGATGGCAATATAGGAAAAGGGTGGTTGGGGGGAGATTAGGTGGGCTAATAAAGGTAAGTGGCTGAACCACTTTGGTGCATTTTGATGCATGTATTTGTGTGTGTGCAGTGTCATTAATGAAATCAATGTCACTGAAATGGGTATAACACTCCACCCATCAATTTCACACAGTTATAACAAATTTATAACTACATGACTTTGAGTTGGCAAGGGATATACTATTTGCAATTGCCTTTCAAAAAAAAAAAAATGCTTTCAAGCAAATTTTTTTTATAAAAGCTGTACAAATATTATAAAAACAAAGCTATAAATACTTTAAAAGAAAATATTATACAGTACTGTACTGTATTATAGTTGCTGTATTAAAGCAACACAAAATACACTGACAAATAAAAAAACATTGCAAATTTGTATATATGCTCTGTTTTTTCAGGGCCATTTAATTTCCAAATTAAATTACTTGCATGTATTATTAGGATATAAAGCATGTCAGCAAATGTAATTCATTAGTCACATGATTTATCTCAAATTATAATACACTTTATGTGCTAAGCCTGAAAGGGCCACCTCAAACCATAAAAAAAAAAAAAAAAAATGATACTTATCATTATGCAGTCCTTACCATTCATATGTTACCAGTGTGAAATAAGACTCAAGCGGTGTTAGATTTTACTGAGGAAACATTTTTGCCATAAATTGCTTCTTTTAGTCTTGTTCTTCAGTCAGGACTGAAGAAGTCATTCATGGTGAGACATTTCCTTCATAAACTATCCTAACACTGCACTCCAGTCTTATTTCACAACTGTTGGAATTGAGATACTGCTTACCTAATAATCTGCAACATTTTGCTTGATAGAAGTTAAGTAGTTAGTATAATTTTTTTTTTAGTTTTTGGCACATTGGCCATTTCCCACCACAGTAGTAAAGTAATAAATAACTGATTTGGTTAAAAGAAATGATATCTACTATCATTTCAAAGACTAATCCTTCACATGTACCAGAAGCTGAAACTTTTATTTGAAAATGAACTATTAATTAAACTTAACAGTAATTTCTACATTTCCATTTTTCCATTACACTTACTCTTATTTAGTTACAATGGGGTGGAACAGGTATGCCAAAACCTTACAAGCAACTAAAATACATGTATATCCATCAACTCTTAGGGTTATACAGTGGACCCCCGGTTAACGATATTTTTTCACTCCAGAAGTATGTTCAGGTGCCAGTACTGACCGAATTTGTTCCCATAAGGAATATTGTGAAGTAGATTAGTCCATTTCAGACCCCCAAACATACACGTACAAACGCACTTACATAAATACACTTACATAATTGGTCGCATTCGGAGGTGATCGTTATGCGGGGGTCCACTGTACTCTGCCAAACCCTCATTGAACAAGGCAAACATTATGCAATAAAGGCAGTGTTATCCATTTGTGAGAGCTAGTGAACTAGCATATAGCTTCTATGAGCAATCTGGGGTTTTAGGCAGAAATGGTTATCTATGAAGCTGTGAGAATGCATCCTTACTCAAGAGACTTGGAAAAATTTTTGAATTTAACATATCAAAGGCTCAAGATTGCTTAAATTTCTTTAATAAATCAAGAGATGATATCTTTACCATAATGATCTAAGGATGACATCAGGAATTGAAGTAATAATCCCATTTCAGTACCATTTTAAGTTATAAATCAGCACACAGTTATCTTGTGAAACTGCTATGTACATATACAAACTGTTCAAGCTCTATACTTGCTTCACCTCAGTCATTGAAGATATTGTATTTCTTAATATAATTCCAACACAACATCCATTTTATGGAACCTCACATGACACTGTTTATCAAATAACAACAATGCTGTAAGCTCTATATCTTTACACTGATTTAGTTTCTAGCCATGCTATTTCCATCATAGCAATGCTATATTATCCATACAAGTGATTAACTGGATACAGCACAAACTTGAGACAATATGCCATTAACCCTTTCAGGGTCCGTGCTGTAGATCTACGGCTTTACGTTCAGGGTCCAAACCGTAGATCTATGCCATGAGCTCAGCTCACTCTGATAAGCTGTGAGCAGTAAATTTGGGCCTAGATATGAGAGAATACCTCTATGTGGTATGTGTGCACCACGTAAAACAAATCCTGCAGCATACAGTGCATAATGAGAGAAAAAACTGAGACCGTAATTTTCAATTAAAACAGCGACTTTGCAGTGTTTTTTCGTATATTTTTATAATTGTATTTGCAATTTCTTGGTCTCATTTGATAGAATGGAAGATATACTACAGAAATAGAGATGATTTTGATTGGTTTTATTAGTGGAAATGGCTTGAAATTGAGCTCAAATTAGCAGAAATGTTAAATTTTTGCCGATGTTTAAGAGTAAACAAATGACCTCACAAGTCTAATACATGACAGCTGGTGGGTCTAATATATATTCACAAATGTGGTGATATTATTTATACAATTATTACAGTATTGCATAACAGTAAATCTTCTATTTTTTGGTTTGAATAAAAATTCATTATGTGAATAAAAAATAAAAATGGAATTCATTTGTAAAGCCTGAAAATGTAACTAATGAACAGAGGAAATGTTAGTTTAGTGCCAGGAATGCCTGCATTGTTTATTCTGGACCCTATTTTGAAATTGGAATATTTTGAACTTTGCATTAAATTGGCCAAATTACCAATTTCCGGTCACTTTATGTTGTTGTTGAAACAGTTGACTTGGCGATTTCTTGTGCTCAATCATTAGAATAGAAGTAATACTAGTGAAATAGCTAAGAATTTGGTTGACTGGAATACTGTAATTAACCTAAAATGGGAGCCAAAGTCAGCATAATCGCCGATGCGTAAATATCGCCGACACATCAAAATTCGCAAGAGTATAATTTCATCAATTTTCTATAAAATTTCGTACTTTTTGTTTTATTACCTTCAGAAAAAGATTCTCTACCATGTCATAAGAAAAAATAACAAAATTATTTTTTGAAAATTCTTGAACCCTGGTGCACACTTTGAAATTTGGTCTCTGGACCCTGAAAGGGTTAAGAAAGCAGAATGGAAAGTGGGCAATGATGCATTATTAAGGGATGGATTTATATCTGCAGGATTTTAGCACCCAAAACTAAATGGCACTTTTTTTTATCACAATTATTACTGTTGCAGACTGTTTAACCCTTTGAGGGTCGACAGGCCCTCTCCGAAACTCGTTCTCAGGGTCGGCCAAATTTAAAAAAAAAAAAATTATTTTCTCTTATGAAAAGATAGAGAATCTTTTCCCGATCATAACGACACCAAAAGTTTGAAATTTGATAGAAAACTTACGGAATTATGCTCTCGCAAAGTTAGCGGTCTCGGCGATGTTTACGGATCGGCGATTTTGCCCACTTTGAGCCCCATTTTCGGCCAATTTCACTGTACTAGTCGACAAAAAACATGAATATTTCGCTAGAACTCCATTTTTTCTATCGAATGGGTGCAAGAAACCACCCATTTATAAATTCAACTATCCAGTACAGTGGTCAGAATTTAGCAATTTTGCCAATTTCACACAAATTTCAAAAGATGCCAATTTCGGAATAGGGTCCAGAATAAACAAGAAAGACATTCCTGGCACTAAAATGACATTTCCTCTAGTCATTAGTCACGTCTCAAGGCCCCTCTTATATTCTTTTGCTTTCCACTTTGAATTTTTATTCTCACAAAAAATATAAGATTTACTGTTATGCAGACTACTGCATTAGTGTAAAAAATGGTATAAATATTATTGGTGCACTTGTGAAAGAATATTAGACTCACCAGTTGACGTGTATTGCACGCTTGGCACGATTTGTTTACTTTTGAAGTTTGGTAAAAATCGAACATTTCTGCTACTTTGAGCTCAATTTCAAGGCACCTTTCATTGTAAAACCAGTCAAAATCATCTCAATTTCAGTAATATGTCTTCCATTCTATAAAATGAGACCAAGAAAACTAGAATACAACAATAAATACTATACGAAAATACACTGCAAAGTCGCTGATTTATTAAAAAAAAATGGAAAAAGTTTTTTTTTTCTCATTATGCACCGTGTGCTGCAGGATTTTTTTTAGACTGTGCACACTGACCACATAGACCCATTCTTTCATATGAAGGCCTACCAGCTTTCTCCCACTAGATTTGAGGTCGCTAGAATTTATGAGTACTAGTACGTCAAAAACCCCTACGCGTAAGACGTACTAGTACGACGAAAACCCTCAAAGGGTTAACAGGAATGGTATTCACTCTATTCAAGTCAGGGTAAATAAAATTTTCCATCTCTGTGAATAAAATAAAAAGGATTGACTAAAAACTACTAGATCAACAAGAAAGAGAAATACAGTATACAAGTTTTGTCTGCACGTACTCCATAATGTAGAATTGTATTTAAAAACGTTTTCAAAATATAACGACTACAATTTCAGACATTTTATCCCAAATATAAAAACACTTTCCACATGCAAAAATCTTTTCTACTAGATGATAAACCTGCGACTACTCATTCAGATGAAGATCTTTGGCAACAACATAGGCAGCAACGTGCATCATTGAACTCTTGTTGGCTTCGTAAGTAGAGACAGCTTGTTTCCGCATATCCTTCCACTCGTACAGGTCTCTGAGGGTTTAAGAACATAGTAATTATAATTACAATTTCATTTTATAACACACATGCCCCCCAAAACCCTCTATTTTTTCATTTCTGTATCCAAAAAGAAGAAAGAAATTATGTGAAGGATAATCTTTTTTATTTGGTCCTAAAAGCGCTGGTAGCATTCTGTAATATTTTCAACCCAATTTTGCATGCATGAGAGATGAAAAAAGATGAAAGTTAATAATTTATAGAGGATGAGGAACTACCTAAGTAAACTTCGTTATGTAGAACACTGATTATGGTAATGAGAAAACAGGTTTGTAAAGAAAAAAATCACTACTTTACCAAGGCAAAGTCACTCAAAGAAGAAAATGCATTCACCATCACTCATTCAACATCTGTCATATCCTGGACATGGTAATTCAAATGACTTTCTAAATTACAGAGTGCAGGCAATGTATTTCCCACTTCCATTAGTCAAGTCTGGCCAACCAATTTCCACAAATTCCTTGATAATGCTTTCTAACACACTCACTAGCACATCAAACCTCCAGAATCACCAGTGCCACTCACTCCAGTTTAACTTGCTCGTAAGTGCTTAAGCCTCATTTCATGATATATAATTATGAGTGTGCAATATTTTTTCACACACTGGCTGTCTACTACTAATGCAGGGTAATTCCAAAAGTAAACATATTCACCATCACACAGTCAATAGATGTCTTGTAAAATTTGTACAATCACAGTCAATGCACCTGTATATGGGTCGTAAAAACTTCATGCGCCCTTGTTCAGTGACAAACTTGAGTGCTTCGTCAGCTTGGTCATTCCAATGAGCTTTGAGCCCCAGGCGCAACCATCGAAATTTGATTTCCGAGTTATTGCGGGAGGACATGCTGTACAACTCGTCCATCTTTTCAAGCTTTCTCACTGGCATTGGTTCTTCCTCCAACATTTGAGCTAGCCACTCTCGTATCTGAAGATAACAGAATTTATTTTCCCTTTAAAAAGATCAATCTTAAAAGGAATTTAAAACATACCACTTGAATACACACTGTCTCTCTACTTTCAAAGTGAAATGGCACATACGGTATGAATTATATTTAAGATATTGATATGCTATTTCCTATATGTAGATTTCAGTGTTTTGCTAAAATGATACACAAAGCAGAATTTGTTGTAATGTAAAAGTCACTGCCTATCACAGAAAAAATAGCCAAGTAACAGTTGCTAGACAGAAAACATCTAGGAAGTACTACCTCTTATGTCTTACAAGTGTGAAACGGTAAACTTTTTTTTTTAACATTAGCTATTTTCCATGAATTCAGGGTAACAAAACAAAAATTAAATACATTTGCCATCATTCATTCAGTAGTTGTCTTTCCAGAAATGTGTGGACATCACAATTTAAATAACTCTCTAAACTAAAATACCCCCACTATCCTTCTGAGTGCAGGTACTGGACTTCTCACCTCCTGAACTCATGTTTGGCTGATGAGCTTGTCCCTGAATCCCTTCATACAAAATCCACTTGTCCCAACTCACTCCAATGTGGTATGCTCTCACATGCTTGATGGATGCTCAACAACATACCACTCAAAACTGCCTTCACCTCCTCTATCCAAGCCATCATAATATGTTTCCTACCTCTCCTTACATCCAAAACAGACTTTTACACCCTCTTGGTCAACCTATCCTGCTGAATCATTTCTAAGTAACTAAACCATTTAAATATCTGCTCCTCCACTCTCTGAATTATACCTTTCATACCATCACACCATAATTGTAACTACAGGAGCAGAGACAAGTTTGTGGTGTCCCATTTTCAATATTCAAATTACCTCACAATTTTGGAAAGCTTTTAGTTATTGTACCACTAACTATCTCCTCTCATAAACAAAGCCATTATTCTACTGCACTGTTTGTAACAAACTTTTTAGTATTCTTTTGGCACCATTTCTTCCTTTGTTTCAATCTATGGAATATTCTTATTTGCATTGATAAGAAATCTTCCTTATCAAGTCTTTCATATCTTTTTATAAATTTATATGTGGTTAAGATGCCTGCTTCTCTTCCTTTAAGAGCAAAGGCAACATGTCTAATGCTTTCAGCCATATCTGTGTGTGAAGCAAGAAAATTACCAGCCTACTTACCTGATTGGCAGACATATTGTTGAGATCTTCTTTACGGAAGGGGCAGTCTTTTGTTATGTCCCACTCGACCCATCGTTTGCAGAGATCTTTGCATGCCACAGCCAAGGAGTCATCAAACCTGCAGATTTTGGACACATATTTATCCACAACAAAGTCTGTATATCAAGTATTGCACAAATTTTATTCCAATCATGTAATTATTATTGGGAATACATCTCGAAGCCCAGTGAGTTATTTTTATAGTGAGGAAAAGCATTAAATCTGTGTGATAATTCAGTGGCATGTGTTAATGTTGAGTTTATTGGCAGAGGAAAGTAAGCACAGGTGTTATAGGGAGCATGGTGACCAGATTAGCCATGTCGCTATGCTCCCTCTATATACTCATGTACTCTGTTTGGGTAGATTTGCGTGTGACCTCATAAAGCCAACTGTGTAGGTGGAATGTAGTCAATAAAGGATCGCATTATACAACATGTTTCTATTTTTCCATCATGTAGGTATTTTTTACCAGTTATCTCCACAAACATTCAATATTATTTGCATTAGGGACCCACTTATATAGCAGGTTAGGTTCCAGGCTACCGCCGGAAAGCAGAACGCCATTTTTTCCACTTCTAAATGCATATAAATGCCAGATAACAAGTTTACACTAACATATATTAAGTTAGCAATAGAACTAGGCATTAAAAACAATAAAAAGTAAAATATACACACAATATGCTCAATATTTACCTCAAAATATTTGTAGTCTTAATGTAGGGTAAAAGGTGAGTAGTATCATTGTAAGAAGTCAGGTGTGGTAGGTATCGTAGCCCTCTTGGCCACCCCACCCACACATAATATACTACGACGTTTAAAGCACCATAGAGTGATAAAATGCATATACAGTATACTCATTACTTGCCTTAAAATATTTGTAGTCTTAATGGTCTTAACGTAGGGTGAGAGGTGAAAAGTATTTATTTGTAGAAAGTCAGGTGTGGGAGGCATGGCAGCTCGCCTGGCCACCCCACCCACACAATATATTACAACATTTAAAACACCCTAGAGCGATAAAATGAATATACATACAGTACACTCATTACTTACCTAAAATATTTGTAGTCTTAATGGTCTTAATGTAGGGTGAGAGGTGAGTAAGCAAGATGAAAACAAATAAATGAGAGAGAGAGAGAGAGAGAACGAGTAAGAGGACAGAGCTGCAAGTATACTATGTAAACAAACAGACAAATGCATCTGTATGGTTCATACAAACACCTACATTGTGTGCAAGTTGTCTCCACAGTGATACAGTAGAATAAAGAGCAACACTTCCATTCTCATGTAACATCGTTTTTAGAAGGAATGATGCTCTGACAAGTTAGTACAGAAGAATAAATTAACAGCAACACCCCCATTCTCATGCAACACACCATTTTTAGAGTGAATGATAAAATTATTATAATCATAATAAACAAGAAGTGCCAAACTCGCAAGGGTCATGAATAGCTATAGAAAGAGTGAAGGCACACGAAAGAAATATTTTTCTACAGTTGTCCCCAAGTAACTGGCGTCTAACTAAAGAAAATGTAATTCTTCCGACACTCCTACAAACTGCAAGGTAAACACATCTCACATTTATGTCAATTTTTATACTGTGAGTGTATGTATCATGTTTATATGTTGCATAGCATGTTTATTATATAATTTTGAAAAAAATATCATAGATGGATTAATGGAAATGTCTATATTAACGTAATATATGACATTTAATGCGCTCAAGAGATTATTATATGGCGTCAAGAGCAGAGAGACTCTTAGTGATTTTAATGTATATCTGAATGCCAGCACAGTGTGTAAGTATAATTAGGTACAGTTTTTTCTTTTTTTCCAACAAGTCAGCCATCTTCCACCGAGGCAGGGTGACCCAAAAAGAAAGAAAATCCTCAAAAAGAAAATACACCTACCATCCGACTTATGACCGAGTTCGGTTCCGAGAAACCGGTCGTAAGTCGAGTGGCCGTAAGTCGAGCAGGTCGTAAGTCGGATGGTAGGTGTACTTTCATCGTCATTCAACACTTTCACCTCACTCACACATAATCACTGTTTTTGCAGAGGTGCCCAGAATACAACAGTTCAGAAGTATATACATATAAAAATAAACAATATACCCCTCCAAACTGCCAATATTCCAAATCCCTCCTTTAGAGTGCAGGCATTGTACTTCCCATTTCCAGGACTTCACTAAATATTACCCTGCTCGCACTCCAACAGCTCGTCAGGTCCCAAATACCATTTGTCTCCATTCACTCCTATCTAATCTTAAAATAATGATTCCTAACTAGTCATAAGTTTGCCTGTGGTACTCCAATATAGAAACTATGTATTGTGCTAAAACAAAAGCATTCACATTGCTAAACTCACAAACTAGTATTTGTAACTCAGTATTTAGTCACTTAGTATTTAGTCAACTTACTCCACAATTTGTTATAATTTAGGGTTAAGAATTAATCTAAGTTTGCCTGAAATGCCTAGCCATGCTAGGTGTTCTAGTGGCCCTCTCTGTAATTAGTATTTTACTACATGTAAACCACACAATTACCAAAATCTGTAAACCCTGCATTGTAATCCTTTTTTTTTTTTTCAACAAGTCGGCCGTCTCCCACCGAGGCAGGGTGACCCAAAAAAGAAAGAAAATTCCCAAAAAGAAAATACCTTCATCATCATTCAACACTTGCACTACACTCACACATTATCACTGTTTTTACAGAGGTGCTCAGAATACAACAGTTTAGAAGCATATACATATAAAGATACACAACATATCCCTCCAAACTGCCAATATGTATGCATGTGTATATATATATATATATATATAATTTTTTTTTTTTTTTTAATCACACTGGCCAATTCCCACCAAGGCAGGGTGGCCCGAAAAAGAAAAAACTTTCACCATCATTCACTCCATCACTGTCTTGCCAGAAGGGTACTTTACACTACAGTTTTTAAACTGCAACATTAACACCCCTCCTTCAGAGTGCAGGCACTGTACTTCCCATCTCCAGGACTCAAGTCTGGGCTGCCGGTTTCCCTGAACCCCTTCATAAATGTTACTTTGCTCACACTCCAACAGCACGTCAAGTATTAAAAACCATTTGTCTCCATTCACTCCTATCAAACACGCTCATGCATGCCTGCTGGAAGTCCAAGCCCCTCGCACACAAAACCTCCTTTACCCCCTCCCTCCAACCTTTCCTAGGCCGACCCCTACCCCGCCTTCCTTCCACTACAGACTGATACACTCTTGAAGTCATTCTGTTTCGCTCCATTCTCTCTACATGTCCGAACCACCTCAACAACCCTTCCTCAGCCCTCTGGACAACAGTTTTGGTAATCCCGCACCTCCTCCTAACTTCCAAACTACGAATTCTCTGCATTATATTCACACCACACATTGCCCTCAGACATGACATCTCCACTGCCTCCAGCCTTCTCCTCACTGCAACATTCATCACCCATGCTTCACACCCATATAAGAGCGTTGGTAAAACTATACTCTCATACATTCCCCTCTTTGCCTCCAAGGACAAAGTTCTTTGTCTCCACAGACTCCTAAGTGCACCACTCACCTTTTTCCCCTCATCAATTCTATGATTCACCTCATCTTTCATAGACCCATTCGCTGACACGTCCACTCCCAAATATCTGAGAACATTCACCTCCTCCATACTCTCTCCCTCCAATCTGATATCCAATCTTTCATCACCTAATCTTTTTGTTATCCTCATAACCTTACTCTTTCCTGTATTCACTTTTAATTTTCTTCTTTTGCATACCCTACCAAATTCATCCACCTATCTCTGCAACTTCTCTTCAGAATCTCCCAAGAGCACAGTGTCATCAGCAAAGAGCAACTGTGACAACTCCCACTTTATGTGTGATTCTTTATCTTTTAACTCCACGCCTCTTGCCAAGACCCTCGCATTTACTTCTCTTACAACCCCATCTATAAATATATTAAACAACCACGGTGACATCACACATCCTTGTCTAAGGCCTACTTTTACTGGGAAATAATTTCCCTCTTTCCTACATACTCTAACTTGAGCCTCACTATTCTCGTAAAAACTCTTCACTGCTTTCAGTAACCTACCTCCTACACCATACACCTGCAACATCTGCCACATTGCCCCCCTATCCACCCTGTCATACCCTGTCATAAACTTTGATTTGATTTGATAACACGCTCATGCACGCTTGCTAGAAATCCAAACCCCTTGCCCACAACACCTCCTTTACCCCCTCCCTCCAACCTTTTCGAGGACGACCCCTACCACACCTTCCTTCCCCTACGGATTTATACGCTCTCCATGTCATTCTACTTTGACCCATTCTCTCTAAATGACCAAACCACCTCAAAAACCCTCTTCAGCCCTCTGACTAATACTTTTATTAACTCCACACCTTCTCCTAATTTCCACACTCCGAATTTTCTGCATAATATTTACACCACACATTGCCCTTAGACAGGACATCTCCACTGCCTCCTCACTGCAGGTACACATAAGTATAATTATCAAAGTACATATAAAATATGCAATAACTTGAAAACACTTGAAATTTTGGAAAGTTTCCAGACATAATAGAGGGATGTGCTCACTGAGAATGTAAACAAGCCTGGTGGGGACTGCCGTATTAGAAAGACAGAGAGCTGTATAGCAAGTTTTGGTCATAATTTGAAATTGCCATATTAGCAGAACGCTGTAAAGCTGGGCCCTACTGTATTTACCTGTTCTCACACACAAATTAATTAAAAATGCTTAACTGCACTTGTAACATTAACTGAATATTACACTAATTAAAGCCAGTATTACTTATAAAATAATTGCCAACAAAATCAAGATACCAGTACTAAATACTGTATAAAGATCAATCTGGCAATCAAATTTTCTTCCTTCTCAAAAAATTTGAGTGGAATGTGTATAAAACCTTAAAAATAAAATAATCTCCACTTTCATTTAGTAAAATATTTAACTGAAAGGAAATAAAGCAGAGCCAAACTATTAAGCCATAACCAAGGCCATTACATACTCAGGTTTAACAGGAGGCATGCCAGGGGTGTGCCACCAAGCCTGCCAGTCTACAGCATCAAACACCTTTTTCTTGTCCACAAAGAACTCAAAAAGGAAACTGCGGAAAGTGTCTGAGGTAATTGACTGATACTTGAACTTATCCAGGTATGCCTTTAAGAAGGGCTCAAACTCATCTGAAAATAAAAACAAAAAACTGTACTCCTAAAAACTTTAAGCAGAGAAAAAGAAAAAAAGCTCCCACTGGCTCTTTTAAAGCCTGTTAAGAAATTTCAACTGTGCATATATAACACGCTCACCATACAGTTGACAACTGTAAATTCTGCATCTGATACTTCGGAGAATTGAAAGGTTCATTTTGGCACCTTGAAAATTATTTAATTCTACAGTAATGCATGTAGTACTGTATGTATGTATGTATGTATGTATGTATGTATGTATGTATGTATGTATGTATGTATGTATGTATGCATGTATGCATGCATGTAATGTAAAGTATGTAATGTCATGTATGTACATACCAATATGTGTGGTTGCAAAGGTTGGCTCCAAGCTTCTCAACTTGCTGCTTGCCAGATTCACTTCCTTGGAGTCTCATAAGCACTCTTGTACCTACTCTTAAAACTATGTACTAAAACTGCCTCCACCACTTAATTGAGATAATTCCATTCCAATAACCACTTGATTAATTTACAATGGCACACAGCTCACTGCCAAAGATGACACACTGAAATGAAGGCTCCTGGAATCATTACTAATCTGCATATCAAACAACTTCAACCAGAACAATGGCTTCTACAATACAGCTTAGCCTCTTGCTAGAAAGCTTCTTGATTGTTATCTCACACAGCAACAGGTCACAGCATAGAGGAACACTGCAGTGGGCCTGCTGATTCATGCTAGGCAGGTCCTTCTCAAATCCAAATACCTCAAGTCATATTTTTGTCCAACCTGCCATTAGTCTACCCAAGAAGAAAGCTTCTACATACCTAGCCTGACTCTTCATGTCACTGAGCTCACTACAGTATATATTCGTACATGCTCTCTCCCTACGTAGAGCTGTTTATGACCTGATAAAGCCCACTATGTGGGCAAAATGCCAATAAAAGATGGTATTACACTGAGTGTGTGTCTTTATCCATCCTGCAAGCAGAGAAGAAACCCCCGTATCCATGGGGGATACGTTCCAAGGATCTGCCATGGATACCGAAACTGTGGATAGTAGCAAACCCTATATATAAGTTCTATACATCTCTATTATAAAGTTTAACTGATAAATTATGCACAGTAAGTGGAAAATGATCACATTTTCACTGATGGAAAGCATTTCTCGGCTTCTCTTAGGCTCTGAAGAACTGCTAACTTTTCTACTTTTACACTTCGGGTCATTATTATGCAAAATTAAGAGGCCACAGTAAACCCTGGATAACTGAAAATGCAGATACCGAATCAGTGGATACGGGGGTTCTACTGTACTTCATGCTATTTTCCTCCAGGAATACATCTGAGTCAATCTCATCTAGAATATCAGTCACATAAACCAAAAACAGAACTGGCCCTAATACCAATCCTTGTGGCACCTCACATGTTACATATTCCCTTTCTCCTGTCTCTTCCAAGACACTCCTTTTTTTCCTTCCTCTGAGATACTCTTTGATCTGCCGGGCTACGTTTGAGTACATTCCATTATTCCTGCCTGTACTATATGTATACATGTGTATGCACATGCCAATATGCATTCCAAACCCCTCCTTTAAAGTGCAGGCATTGTACTTCCCATATCCAGTACTCAAGTCCAGCTATATAAAAATAACTGGTTTCCCTGAATCCCTTCACTAAATATTACCCTGCTCACACTCCAACAGCTTGTCAGGTCTTAAAAACCATTCGTCTCCATTCACTCCTATCTAACACCCTCACACACGCTTGCTGAAAGTCTAAGCCCCTCGCCCACAAAACCTCCTTTATCCCCTCCCTCCAGCCTTTTCGAGGACGACCCCTACCCCGCCTTCCTTCCCCTGCAGATTTATACGCTCTCCATGTCATTCTACTTTGATCCATTCTCTCTAAATGACCAAACCACCTTAACAACCCCTCTTCTGCCCTCTGGCTAATACTTTTATTAACTTCACACCTCCTAATTTCCACACTCCAAATTCTCTGCATAATATTTACACCACACACTGCCCTTAGACAGGACATCTCCACTGCCTCCTCGCTGCAGCATTCATAACTCAAGCTTCACACCCATACAAAAATGTTGGTACAACTATACTTTCGTACATTCTCTTCTTTGCCTCCATTGATAATGTTTTTTGTCTCCACATATACCTCAACGCACCACTTACCTTTTTTCCTTCATCAATTCTATGGTTAACCTCATCCTTCATAAACCCATCTGCTGACAAATCAACTCCCAAATATCTGAAAACATTCACTTCTTCCACACTCCCTCTCTCCAATGTGATATCCAATTTTTCTTTATCTAAATCATGTGATACCCTCATCACCTTACTCTTATTTATGTTCACTTCCAACTTTCTACCTTTACACACCCTCCCAAACTCGTCCACTAACCTTTGCAGGTTTTCTTTAGAATCTCCCATAAGCACAGTGTCATCAGCAAAAATTAAATGTGTTAACTCCCATTTTGTATTTAATTCCCCATAATTTAATCTCACCCCTCTCCCCAACACCCTAGCATTTACTTCATTTATAACTCCATCTATAAATATATTAAACGACCATGGTGACATTATACATCCCTGTCTAAGACCTAATTTTACCGGGAAGTAATCTCCCTCTCTTCTACACACCATAAACAAATATAAATGCCTTGCTGTGCAGAAGGGATGGTAGACTATAATGCTTAGTACATGAACTCAAGTAGCTTCAAAATGAACAAATTTAACATATGCAGCTATACAACTTACCTGGTCCTCCCACCAGTGTTTCCAGGTACCAGAGTAATGTGTGCCCTTTCTCGTAAGGTACAATAGAAAAGGCATCATCTGGATCTACCCCAGTCAAGTCTGGTACAAGGCAAGTCAGTGAGTCTTTCTCGCCTCTTGTGCGAATCTAAAAAATATGAAATAATAACAACAGAAATTCAAATAATTTGAGAAGATAGTGAAGAACTTATTATAAGCTATTTTTGACTTGGCATGAATTCAATGCCTGAAGTTGTATTTTGAAATATAAAAATGCAAAGAAACATGAGTGAGATACAGTGGCACTGATAATAGCATTTTGCAAATAAGTTTGAGCACCTCAGTGCAACAAAAACCAGACAGTATTCTGGAAAAAATTTGATGACAAGATGTTCACATATTGCAGTAATATAGAAGGCATGAGAAACTTTGAGATAACTGAATCATTTTGGTATTTTAAGGAATCACGAAGATTTGGGTGATACTCTGATTCCCACTCTAAGTCATAAAGGAACCTGGTGAGAATATTAAACAGATGGCAAAATATAGTACATACTATGATTTTAATATTTTATTTTTATGTAGACAAAAGCCTGGTCTGACATTAAGCATTTTGGAGCCTCAAGACTGCCATTGCTGCCCTCTCAGAGCATTGTGTCAAAGTGTATTACAGGAGCTAGCTTACTGCTGCATTCAACCGCTGTTTGCCCTCACCCTCAGGTATGGATTACTCGAGCATTCTCGTTATGCTAAGAGATCCTCCACATAGACATGCAACTCTGACCCCAATTTATCAAATCTACTATTGAAAATGAAGGAAAATGCTTGGCCAACTATACATCTGGAGTTTGATGAAATAGTATAGCCTCACCTCCACCATGTATAATGCTGCCAATCTGAAGCTTATCAGGTATATTCTGACCCACATGATTCTCAATAACTCTTGCAACATATGTAATGTTGCTACTTCCCACTATTTCATGTTTTCTTGACAAAAATACAGCATTCTTTGGTTCACCTCAACTACATTAACATCACAGCATTAATTTTCTTGCACTGTATAAGTATTTTTAATGATTTTTATTAATTCTCATAGTAAACCAGTTGTACTGGTTTATAACCAAAATGTTTCAAAATTATATCTACACACCTCTGGTGAGACAGTGATAGTGTGACTGATAGGGAAAGTGTTTTTTTCAGGTCACCCTGCCTTGGTGGGAGATGGTCAGTGTAAAAACAGAGAAAAAACAAAGAGAAAAAAAATATATATACTTTCTTTCTTTCAACACACCGGCAGTATCCCACCGAGGCGGGGTGGCCCAAAAGAAAAAACAAAAGTTTCTCCTTTTACATTTAATAACATATACAGGAGAAGGGGTTACCAGCCCCTTGATCCCGGCATTTTAGTTGCCTCTTACGACATGCATGGCTTACGGAGGAAGAATTCTGTTCCACTTCCCCATGGAGATAAGAGGAAATAAACAAGAACAAGAACTAGAAAGAAAATAGAAGAAAACCCAGAGGGGTATGTATGTATATATATGCCTGTACATGTATGTGTAGTGTGACCTAAGTGTAAATAGAAGTAGCAAGATATACCTGAAACCTTGTATGTTCATGAGACAGAAAAATGGACACCAGCAATCCTACCATCATGTAAAACAATTACAGGCTTTCGTTTTACACTCACTTGGCAGGACGGTAGTACCTCCCTGGGTGGTTGCCGTCTACCAGCCTACTACCTAGAAAATATATATACATAGATATATATTTATTATTATTATTATTAAAGTAAAAATGCAATAGATAAAAGTCATCCCATTTGTAGGAAAACACTCCACATAGTTGAGCATTCTCGTTGCTGAGGTATGTCACTCTTTCGTAAGGAATGTGTTAACAAATGTGGTTCGTAAAGTTTTTTGTTCATAATTTAAAAGGAGAGTACAGTGGACCCCCGGTTAACGAACTTTTTTCATTCCAGTAGTATGTTCAGGTGCCAGTACTGACCGAATTTTTTCCCATAAGGAATATTGTGAAGTAGATTAGTCCATTTCAGACCCCCAAACATACACGTACAAACGCACTTACATAAATACACTTACATAATTGGTCGCATTCGGAGGTAATCGTTATGCGGGGGTCCACTGTATTATTGCACTATGAGAAATATGGTTAACCATTAAATATTTTTTTATCTAGAAAGTTATGAAGGGACTCAGGTAAAACTAGTTAGCTAAACTTGAGTCTTATGGGTGGAGAGTACAGTGCCTACACTCTGAAAGAAGGGGACAGCAACTCAATGTGTGATGGTAAATGTGTTTCCTCTATTTTTTTTTTTTTTTTGGTCACCTTGCTTTAGTGGGAGATGGATAGTGTGTTGAAAAGGCTTATAATAATAATTTATAACAGTGATTAGGTTATGATGTTTTTTATTTATATAACAATTTGAGAATACAGTGGATCCCCAGTTAACGATATTTTTTCATTCCAGAAGTATGTTCAGGTGCCAGTACTGACTGAATTTGTTCCCATAAGGAATATTGTGAAGTAGATTAGTCCATTTCAGACCCCCAAACATACACGTACAAATGCACTTACATAAATACACTTACATAATTGGTCACATTGGGAGGTGATCGTTAAGCGGGGGTCCACTGTATATATATATATATATATTATGAGAAAATTTCCTTCATCAAAATAAAAATTCACAATAAACTACAATACTCAAATGAATAAAAAAAGATTTGATAAACAAACAATACTAAAAAAGTAAATAACTCACACATTCAGCTAAATCCTTCCAGCCTCCTATAGCTGAGAAGTTTCTTGTTGCTTCACCATACATTCTTCCAGCAATCTTACGCTCCACAAACATAGTGAAGCCTTCATTAAGCCAAAAATGTTCCCAATGGCTGTTGGTGATCAGATTGCCAGTCCAGGAGTGGCTAATCTCATGCGCAACTAAATCAGCCAAAGAGCGATCTCCAGCCTGTGGGGGACAGCAAATAAAAATAGGAATGGGAATAAATTTTCTGTCTGACTTACACATTCTGCTAGATCCTTCCATCCTCCAAGGGCAGAAAAAGGTCTTGTTTTTTCCCCATGCAGTCTTCCAATAATTTTTCTCTCAATGAACTTGGTAAAGCCTTCATTGAGCCAGAAGTCCTGCCAGTTCGAATTTGTCACGAGATTGCCTGTCCAGCTATGCGTAATTTCATGAGCAATGACATCTGCCAGTGAACGGTCGCCTGCCTTATATTGTAAGAAAAGGGATATTTATTGAATATTATTAACAAAGCAATTAGTAACTTCACTCTAAACTTTTGAATCTCTTATTTACTATTAATGCTCTATACCAAATTTTTATTTCAGTAATAAAAGACAAAAATAAGAGAAAGCAAGTTCCTTCTCTAGTGAAATGACTGTTATTAATAGTATCATAACATTTACAGGAAAGTACTAAACCCACAGCCTTCATACAGCACCTAGGAAACAGGAGGCAATCAGATCTGATCCAAGAGTAGGGTAAGTCCAGTTCCTTGGATCAAGAGCCTTTCATTAATATCAAGACACTCCTCTTGAAAGAAAAAGACTTTGGTAAAGGGGGAACCAAGGAAATGCAGAGCTGTCTTTCATACTTCAATATTTTCTATGCACAAGTATAGACACAAACATGACAATAACAATAATAATAATTAGAAATGTCCTGTCGAAGGGCAATGTGTGGTGTAAATATGTATTATGCAGAGAATTAGGAGTGTGGAAATTAGGAGGAGGTGTGGACTTATTAAAAGTATTAGTCAGAGGGTTGAAGAGGGGTTGTTAAGGTGGTTTGATTATTTAGAGAAAATGGAACAAAGTAGAATGACTTGGAGAGCATGTAAATCTGTAGGGAAAAGAAGGCAGGGTAAGGGTTGTCCTCAAAAAGGTTGGAGGGAGGGGGTAAAGGAGGTTTTGTGGGCGAGGGGCTTCGACTTCCAGCACGCATGTGTGAGCGCGTTAGATAGGAGTGAATGGAGACGAATGGTTTTTGGGACCTGACGAGATGTTGGAGTGTAAGCAGGGTAATATTTTGTGAAGGGATTTAGGGAAACCGGTTAGCCAGACTTGAGTCTGGGAAATGGGAAGTACAATGCCTGCACTTTAAAGGAGGGGTCTGGGATATTGGCAGTTTGGAGGGACTTCTAAACTGTTGTACCTGAGTGCTTCTGCAAAGACAGTGATTATGTATGAGTAATGGCGAAAGTGTTGAATGATGATTGAAGTATTTTTCTTTCTTTTTGGGTCACCCTGCCTCAGTGGGAAATGGCTGATGTGTTAAAAACAATAATAATAATAATAATAAAACAAAATATCCCAAACCCCCTTTAAAGGAAGGGGTTTGAGATATTTTCTGTTTAGAATGACATCTAAACTGTTGTAAATGCATGCCTATGCAGAGGGTGTGTGTGTTTCTTTAGTTTGGGGGGTGGATCACCCTGCTTCAGTGGGAGATGACTTGTCCAGGTTATATTTGTGTTAAAAAAGACTGGTTCACAGTATTTATTTATGGAAAAGCTCACAGTTATGCAAAGCATATTTGGGTAGACTTAAACTAAGAGTAATACAGAATATAAAAATATATTCCTCATATAACAGATGAATATAAATGAAAAGTGCCCCAAATAAAAATACTAAAAGTATTGAATATAATAATCATTTAGTAAAGTCTCTTGAACATAATAATAACCTAGCACAGTAATGTAATGTGTGGTGCAAATATTATGCAGAGAATTCGAAGTGTGGAAGTTAGGAGAAGGTGTGGAAGTGTGGGGTTAATAAAAGTATTAGTCAAGAGGGCTGAAGAGGGGTTGTTGAGGTGGTTTGATCATTCAAAGGGAATGGATCAAAGTAGAATGACATGGAGAGCATATAAATCTGTAGGGGAAGGAAGGCGGAGTAGGAGTTGTTCTCGAAAAGGTTGGAGGGAGGGGGTAAAGGAGGTTTTGTGGGCGAGGGGTTTGGATTTCCAGCATGCATGCATGAGGGTGTTAAATAGGAGTGAATGGAGACGAATGGTTTTTGGGACCTGATGAGCTGTTGGAGTGTGAGCAGGGTAATATTTAGTGAAGGGATTCAGGGAAACCGGTTATTTTTATATAGCCGGACTTGAGTTCTGGAAATGAGAAGTACAATGCCTGCACTTTAAAGGAGGGGTTTTGAAATATTGGCATTTTGGGGGGATGCGTAATGGGACGGTATATATATATAACTGGGGCCCTTATATTGTATTCTATATGGAGTTTATTACATAATATCAGGTCACTTTTTAAATTGTATCTTTATATATGCTTCTAAACTGTTGTATCTGGGCACCTCTGCAAAAACAGTGATTATGTATGAGTGAGGTGAAAGTGTTGAATGATGATGAAAGTATTTTCATTTTGGGGATTTTTTCTTTCTTTTTGGGTCACCCTGCCTAGGTGGGAGACGGCTGACTTGTTGAAAAAAAAAATGATAACATGATAGCAATTTAGAAATTAAAGCATTCAGTGTATTGAACTTATATATAATATACATTAAATACTGTATAAAATATGCTTGATGTGGTATACTGCTTTAACCTGATTAAAATACTGAGCAATGAGGATAAAACCAACTGACCATAACAACATATTAGTACTAATGAAAAACTGATTGTAAATATGATAATTACAGTAGTGAAGCAAGAGCAAAGTGAGGCCAAGTGCATGGCCACACACTCACTGGCATTTTCAAAGTTGAGTGAGGTTAGGGATATGCCAAAAATTACAGAGATGTTGACATAATTTTGAGGCTCAATCATAAAAATATAAATGTGGACAGTTAATCTTTAGTGTGATTAATGGTTTACTGAACACAAGAACACAATTGTGATTTCAATACTTCACTCACTTCTTTGTCATAATTGGTTTAAGATGACTCGAAGTTGTTGATCCCAAGGAACAGATACCATGTACGAGATATTGATAAATCAGCATGTAGTGTAAGGTAAGCAAAGTAGAAGTACATAATGGCAAACTTTCAAGAACATGCCAACATTTTCTGATAACTTTGTTGCTGTGTTGGATATTCACATTCATTTATCCCATGGGACAGTAGGCTAGAATTCTTACCCCATAAACCATGCATTGTAAAAGGTGCCTAAAACGCTAGTACCAAGGAGCTAGTAGTTCCCTTCTGTATTCAATTACAATTTTTTATGAACGTGTTTTCTTTTTTGGATCACCTTGCCTTAGTGGGAGATGGCCATTGAGGGAATAAAAAGTGGTGGTAAAAATGTTGTATATGAGTACTGAATTTTAGTTTCTTAACTGACATTTAGTTTGATGTATATCTGAAGTGTATACAAATTGAGACATTTAAGCACAAATAAAGCTAGAAATTAAAATAAATATTGTCTCTCTGTGACAGACATTCAGACAAAGACTGGATATTCAATAAAGTTAAGTGCTGTATACTAAAATTTGTTGTGACTAATTAATGGTTGAAGTCAGACCAAAAAGTCATAAGTTTCAATCTCCTAAATGCAGGTTATTAGTGTAAAAGTTGCTTAGTTAATGAGAGTATCTACTTTTCAATTAAATACATGTACATCATAAAAGGTAATTAGTGAGTGATGGTGGATGTTTCCTTTTCAGAACACTTTGTCTTTTTAAGAATTTTTTTCTTTCAACAAACCGGCCGTATCCCACCGAAGCAGGGTGGTCCAAAAAGAAAAATGAAGATTTCTCTATTAAATTTTAGTAGTATATACAGGAGACGGGGTTACTAGCCCCTTGCTCCCGGCCTTTTAGTCACTTCTTATGACACGCATGGCTTCTTCTTTCAACGCACTAGCCGTATCCCACCGAGGCAGGGTGACCCAAAAGGAAAAATGAAAGTTTCTCTTTTTAAATTTAGTAATATATACAGCCTCTTATGACACTCATGGCTTACAGAGGAAGACTTTTAAGAAATGACTGGTGTAAAAAAAAAAAATTATCTGCTTTGATGCAGCCACACGTGCATAAACACTGCTTAGCTTACCAGGAGAGTGGGTGTAACAAATGTCAGACATGGGTTCTCCATTCCACCATAAGGAAAACTTGGAGGTAGGATGAGCAGGTCATACTGTCCCCAAACATAGTCCCCACACAGCTCTTCTGCAGTTTTCAGCATTGTCTCTGTCTGAAATAATCAACAACAAACTGGGTTTTCAAGGACATGTTACATTTACTAACATTTTGATGCAATATAAAATGTCAAAGTCATATCCCAGAGACAATTAGTCACAAATAAATAAATAAATAAATAAATAAATAAATAAATAAATAAATAAATAAATATATAAATATATAAATATATAAACCTAGGTAGTAGGTTGGTAGACAGCAACCACCCAGGGAGGTACTACCGTCCTGCCAAATGAGTGTAAAACGGAAGCCGGTAATTGTTTTACACGATGGTAGGATTGCTGGTGCCTTTTTTTTTCTCTCTCATACACATGCAAGATTTCAGGTACGTCTTGCTACTTCTATTTACACTTAGGTCACACAACACATACATGTACAAGCTTATATATACACACCCATCTGGGTTTTCTTCTATCTTCTTTCTGGTTTTTATTCTTGTTTATTTCCTCTTACCTCCATGGGGAAGTGGAACAGAATTCTTCCTCCGTAAGCCATGCGTGTTGTAAGAGGCGACTAAAATGCCGGGAGCAAGGGGCTAGTAACCGTTTCTCCTGTATATATTACTAAATGTAAAAGGAGAAACTTTCGGTTTTCCTTTTGGGCCACCCCGCCTCGGTGGGATACGGCCGGTGTGTTGAAAGATAAATATATAAAGTAGAATGACATGGAAAGCATATAAATCTATAGGGAAAGGAAGGCGGGGTAGGGGTCGTCCTCGAAAGAGTTGGAGAGAGGGGGTAAAGGAGGTTTTGTGGGCGAGGGGCTTGGACTTCCAGCAAGCGTGCGTCAGCGTGTTAGATAGGAGTGAATGGAGACGAATGGTACTTGGGACCTGACGATCTGTTGGAGTGTGAGCAGGGTAATATTTAGTGAAGGGATTCAGGGAAACCGGTTTTTTTCATATAGTCGGACTTGAGTCCTGGAAATGGGAAGTACAATGCCTGCACTTTAAAGGAGGGGTTTGGGATATTAGCAGTTTGGAGGGATATGTTGTGTATCTTTATACGTATATGCTTCTAAACTGTTGTATTCTGAGCACCTCTGCAAAAACAGTGATAATGTGTGAGTGTGGTTAAAGTGTTGAATGATGATGAAAGTATTTTCTTTTTGGGGATTTTCTTTCTTTTTTTTGGGTTACCCTGCCTCGGTGGGAAACAGCCGACTTGTTTGAAAAAAAAAAAAACCAGTGATAATGTGTGAGTGTCGTGAAAGTGTTGAATGATGGTGAAAGTATTTTCTTTTTGGGGATTTTCTTTCTTTTTTTTGTGTTACCCTGCCTCGGAGGGAGACGTACGACTTATTGAAAAAAAAAAAAAAAATATATATATATATATAATATATATATATATATATATAATATATATATTTTATATATATATAAAATATATTCTTTCTTTCTTTCAACACACCGGCCGTATCCCACCGGGCGGGGTGGCCCAAAAGGAAAAACGAAAGTTCCTCCTTTTACATTTAGTAATATATACAGAGAAGAGGTTACTAGCCCCTTGCTCCCGGCATTTTAGTTGCCTCTTACAACACGCATGGCTTACGGAGGAAGAATTTCTGTTCCACTTCCCCATGGAGAAAGAGAAATAAACAAGAATAAGAACTAGAAAGAAAATAGAAGAAAACCCAGAGGGGTGTGGTATATATGTGCTTGTACATGTATGTGTAGTGTGACCTAAGTGTAAGTAGAAGAGCAAGACGTACCTGAAATCTTGCATGTTCATGAGACAGAAAAAAGGACACCAGCAATCCTACCATCATGTAAAACCAATTACAGGCTTTCTTTTTACACCACTTGGCGGGAAACGGTAGTACCCCCCTGGGCGGTTGCTGTCTACCAACCTACTCCCTAGAAAAATAATATAATATATATTTTATATATATATAATATATATATATAAATTATATATATATATATATATAAATATATATATAATATATATTAATATATATATATATTATTTTTCCTAGGTATAGGTTGGTACACAGCAACCGCCCAGGGGGGTACTACCGTCCTGCCGAGTGTAAAACGAAGCCTCTAATTGTTTTACATGATGGTAGGATTGCTGGTGTCCTTTTTCTGTCTCATGAACTTTCAAGATTTCGGTAGGTCTTGTTACTTCTACTTACACTTAGGTCACACTACACATACATGTACAAGCACATATATACACACCCTTCTGGGTTTTCTTCTATTTTCTTTCTAGTTCTTATTCTTGTTTATTTCCTCTTATCTCCATGGGGAAGTGGAATAGAATTCTTCTTCCGTAAGCAATGCGTGTTGTAAGAGGCGACTAAAATGCCGGGAGCAAGGGGCTAGTAACCTCTTCTCCTGTATATATTAGTAAATGTAAAAGGAGAAACTTTCGTTTTTCCTTTTGGGCCACCCCGCCTCGGTGGGATACGGCCGGTGAGTTGAAAGAAAGAAAGATATATATATATAATATATATATATATATATATATACAGTGGACCCCCGCATAACGATGGCATCACATAGCGATTAATCCGCATACCGCTTGCTTTAATCGCAAAAATTTTGCCGCGCATACCGATTAAAAACCCGCTCACTGATTTTCGTCCGAGACGCGTCCAATGTGCGCCCTCAGCCAGCCTCACATGTGCCGCCCGTGCCATTGTTTACCAGCCAGCCTCCGCGGTAACATCCAAGCATACACTCGGAATATTTCGTATATTACAGTGTTTTCGGGGCTGTTTTCTGGAAAATAAGTGACCATGGGCCCCCAAAAAGCTTCTAGTGCCAACTGTACACCAATAAGGGTGGAATTCCAATAGAAAAAGAAGAAAGAGGGTCATTGATAAGTATGAAAGTGGAGTGCGTATCGCCGACCTAGTCAAATTTTACAAGAAACCCCAATCAAAACCCTCGCTACTATTGGGGCCCAGAAAGACAATCAAGGAAGCTGTTCTTGCCAAAGGTTTAACTGTGTTTTCGAAACAAAGATCGCAAGTGATGGAAGATGTTGAGAGACTCTTATTGGGGTGGATAAATGAAAAACAGCTAGCAGGGATAGCGTCTCTCAAGCGATCATATGTGAAAAGGCTAGGAAAATTGCATGAGGATTTAATTAAAAAAAAGCCTGCAACTAGTGCTGATGTGAGTGAATTTAAGGCCACAAAGGTTTGGGTTTTAGAGATTTAAGAAACGAAATGGTATCCATAGTGTGATAGGCATGGTGAGGCTGCCAGTTCGGACCACAAAGCGGCTGAAAAATATGTGCAGGAATTCAAGGAGTACATAGACAGTGAAGGACTGAAACCTGAACAAGTGTTTAAATTGTGATGAAACAGGCCTGTTCTGGAAGAAAAAGCCAAGCAGGACCTACATTACTCAGGGGGAAAAGGCACTCCAGGACATAAGCCTATGAAAGACAGGCTTTCTTTGTTGATGTGTGCCAATGCTAGTGTTTATTTGCAAAGTTAAGCCTTTATTAGTGTATCACTCCCGAAACTCCCAGAGCGTTCAGGGGAAAAGAATGTCCTCAAGGATAATTTGTGTGTGCTGTGGAGGCAAACATAAGGCCCTGGGTCACTAGGGACTTTTTCTATAACTGGGTTTCACCATGCATTTTCCCCCAATGTGAAAGATTACCTAACTGAAAAGAAATTAGACCTTAAGTGCCTCCTGGGGTTAGACAATGCCCCTGGTCATCCTACAGCGTGGCAGAGCGACTTTTTGGGGACATGAGCTTCATTAAGGTGAATTTTTTGCCTCCTAAAAACCATCCTCTCCTGCAGCCCATGGACCACAGGTTATTGCAAACTCAAAAAACTGTACACAAAAGCTCTGTTTGAAAGGTGCTTTGTAGTGACCTCAGAAACTCAACTGACTCTAAGAGAGTTTTGGAGAGATCACTTTAATATCCTCAATTGTATAAACCTTAAAAGGTAAGGCTTGGAGGGAGTGACCCAAGAAGACCTTGAACCTGCTTGGAAGAAACTGGGGGCCAGAATGTGTAGACAAAAGGGGTTTTGAAGGGTTTGAGGCTAACCCCGAGAGGAGTATACCAGTTGAGGAATCAATTGTGGCATTGGGGAAGTCCTTTGGGGGTTTGGGGGTTAGTGGGGAGGATGTGGAAGAGTTGGTGGACGAGGACAATGAAGAACTAACCACTGATGACTGATAGATCAACTTCACGAGCAAGAGGCCAGACCTGAGGGAAAATGGTTCAGAGGAAGGGGAGGAGAAATTGAAGAAGTTGCCTACTACAAAGATTAAAAGAAATCTGTGCAAAGTGGCTTGAAGGCAAACCTTCATGGGTGAAAATCACCCTCACACCCGCTATTGCAAGCCGTGCGGTGACTATTACACTGACAATGTTGTGAAACACTTGGAAAGTCCAAAAAGGGAAAGAGAGGTACAGGCCACTATGGACAGATATCTTGTGCGAAAGAAGTCCAGTGACTCTGAAATGGCCCTAGTGGCACTAAAAGAAGAAGGGAAATAACCCCAGAAAAGGACTTGCCACCTCAAGTCTTAAGGAAGGGGATTCCCCTTCTAAACACTAACACTCTCTCTCCCCCCTCCCATCCCATCATCAATCACCCCGATCTTCAATAAAAGTAAGTGTCATGTAAGTGTGCATGCCTTTTTCAGTTTGTGTGTATTTAAAATTTAAAATTTCATGTGGTAAAAAATTTTTTTTTTCATACTTTTGGGTGGGCTTGCACGGATTAATTTTATTTCCATTATTTCTTATGGGGAAAATTCATTCACATACCGATTATTTCGCATAACAATTACTCCTCTTGCCGGATTAAAATCGTTATGGGGGGTCCACTGTATGTATGTATGTAATGTGTGGTGTGTGTGTGTTTTGTATGGATGTATGTATGTATATGTAAAATGTATTTTGTATATTATTTTATATAAATAATATATATATATATATATGTATATGTAATATATATATATATATATATATATATATATATATATATATATAATATATATATATATATATATAT